ATATATAAATATAAAAATATATAATAAAAATAGTATAATAAATTCCAAGAAATACCAATACTCGATCATGGTAAACAGAAAATATGAATAAATCAATAATACTAAGGAAATTAAATCAGTAATAAAAAACTCTCATCAAAGAAAAATCTAGGGTCTGATGGTTTACTAGTTAATTCTACAAAACATTTAGAAAAGAATTAATACCAATCTTTCACAAAGTTTCCAAAAACTGAAGAGGAGAAAACAATCCCTAATTCAATTTATGAGGTTAGCATTACCCTGATAGCAAAGCCAGATACAAACATGATAAGAAAACTACAGGCCAGTATCTCTAATTAACGTAGATGTAAGAATACTCAAAAAATTCTAGCAAACTGAACTCAACAACTCACTAAAAGGAAAATAATCCATGATCGACTGGGATTTATCTGTGGAATGCAAGAGTATTTCAACATACACAAATCAATCATTGTGATATGACATATTAATGGAATAAAAGATTAAAATCATATGATCGTCTGAAAAGATGTAGAACAAGCTTTTGACAAAATTCAATATCCTTTCATAAGAGCTCTCAACAAATTGAGCATAAAAGGAACTTACGTTAGCATAATAAAGACTATATGACAATCCTATATAATATTATAGAAACCAAACTCATAGAAACCAAAAGTAAAATGGTGGTTACCATAGGCTTGCAAGTGGGAGAAATGGGGAGATAATGGTCAAAAGGTAAACATTTCCAGCTAGAAGATTAATAAGTTCTAAGGAGCTAATGTACAGCCTGATGAGTATATTTAAGTTATTAAAAAAATAGATCTTAAAAATTCTTACCACAAAAATGATGAACGTGTTTAATTAGCCTTATTGTGGTAATTATTTTGTAGTACTGTGTATATAATTACATGTTACATTCCTTAAACTTACAAAACATCATATGTCAAGTATACTTCAATAAAACTGGGGGATCTGACGGGATGAGAAAAAAGGAAACAAAACTCATATGTCAATCATACCTGAAAAACAAATAAAGAAAGAAAATCTGTCAAGAAAATAAATAACACAGGTACTTCCCTAGTGGTTCAGTGGTTAGAATGCACCTGCCAACATAGGGGGCATGGGTTCAGTCCCTGGTCTGGGAACTAAGATCCCACATGCTGCAGGGCAACTGAGCCTGCACACCTCAACTACCAAAGCCCAGGCACTGAAGCCTGTGCACCACAACTGCTCAGTCCATGCACGCAACGACTGAAGTCTGCACACCCTAAAGACCATGCTCTGCAACAAGAGAAGGCACTGCAGTAAGAAGCCCGTGCACCACAATTAGAGAGAAGCCCTCACTCGCCACAACTAGAGAAAGCCCATGCACAGCAACAAAGACCCAACGCAGCTAAAATTTTTTTAATTAATTTTTTTAATTTAATAAAAGGTATTGGTGAAATAAGAAAATACAAATAAATGAAAAGACATCTTGTGTTCATGGATCAGAAGACTTAACATTGCTAAAATGTCCATTTACCCAAAGAGATCTGTAGATTAAATGCAATTCCTATCAAAATTTCAATGGTATTTTTTAAACAGAAAAATCATCCTAAAATTCATGTGGAACACTAAGTATCCTGAATATCCAGAACAATCTTGATCACATATCCTGATTTCAAAACATGTTACAAAGCTATGCTAATTAAAATAGTTGATACTGGCATAACAGCAGACACACAGTCCAGAAAAAGAAAATAACTAAAAAATAAACTCATGCATATATAGTCAACTGATCAGTGACAAAGGTGCCAATAATACACAATGGGGAAAGGATAATCTCTTTAAGAAATAATGTTGGAAAAACTGGATATCCACAGGAAAAAGAATGAAATTAGACTCATATCTTACCCAAACCAGAAAAAGTAAACTCAAAATGGATCAAAAACTTAAACGTAAAACCCAAAACTATAAAAATCCTAGAAGGAAACATAGGAGAAAAGCTGTATGACATTGGTCTTGGCAATTATTTCTTAGATATGACATCAAAAGTACCAGCAACAAAAGCAAAAATCAACAAGTGGAACTGCACCAAACTAAAAAGCTATGCATGGCAAAGTAAACTGAGTAAAAAGTCAGTCTTTGGCATGGGAAAAATACTTGCAAACCACATATGCAATAAGGGTTTAATTTAAAAATATAAGAAACTCCTAACACCAAACAACAACAAAACAAACAAATTAAAAAATAGGCAAAATACCTGAATAGATATTTCTCCAGAGAAGAGATAAAAATGGCCCAGAGGTGTTTAAGAATGTGCTCAATATCACTAATCATCAGAGAAATACAAATAAACCACAATGAGACATCATCTCACACTTATTTGGATGGCTGTTTTCAAAAAGACAAAAGATAAGTTGTAGTGAGGATATACACTAATGGTTGGAATGTACAAGGGTATGGCCACTATGGAAAACAGTACAGTGGTATCTCAAAAATTAATAACTGCTATATGATCCAACAATCCAACATCTGTGTTTAATATCCAAAGGAACTGAAATCAGGACTGACAAGATATTTATCCTTTCATATTCACTGTAGCACTATTCACAATAGCCAAGATGGGGAAGCAGCCTAAATATCCATCAGTGTGAATGGATAAAGAAAATGTAGTACATATATACAATGGAATATTATTCAGTCTTTAAAAAGAAGGAAATCTTGTTATAAGTGACAACACAGGTGAACCTCATGAACATTATGTGAAATAAGCCTATCATAGAAGAACAAATACTGCAGGATTCCATTTATATGAGGTATTAAAGTAGTCAAACTCCTAATAAAAGAGGAGAATGGTAGATCCCATGGGTTGGAAGCAGGGGAAAATGGAAAGTTGCTGTTCATTAAGTATAAAATTTGAGGTATGCAAGATAAGGGAGTTCTAGATAACTTCTGTAAAACATTGTGTTTATAGTTAACAACACTATACTATCAACTTTATATGATTTTGCATCTAAATTTCCCAGATAATTAACTATTACAATTGACAGAATCATTAAAGTAATAGGACCTTCTCAACAGAAGCAGAGATTTAATTACACTTAAGAAAATCTCTGTCCATTCATATCTAACTACTAAGCTAACTGCACAGGGACTTCAGTGGCCACACACAATGAAGAATGCAGCCTTTACAGGCTAGCCCAATAAATTTATTAAACAACCAAATAAATACAAACCCTGTAGAAGAGCTATCTAATTTCCAGAGTTGCCAATTATATTTAAAATGGTTAGTCTTCAATCAAAAAAATATGAGACATGCAAAGACACAAAAGAGTGGCTAGTATACAGGACAGAATGAAAGCAGTCAATAGAACCTCTCAATGAAGAAGCCCAGACACTGAACTTACTAGACAAAGATTTTAAACCAGGTTTAAAAATTACAGCAAAAGAATTCAATATGCATGTTTCAGCAAATGGTAGAATGAACCAAAAATTCAAGAAAATCAAGAAATAAAAATATTTTTTAATATAACTTTTAAAAATTTTGCAGTGATATTGTAAGTCTGAATCAGGCTACATATTCCACTTAATTAAAATCAATTAATTCAATTAAAATAATTTAATAATTTTTATAATAATATTTACTACTGAATTTTTTCTCTCAACTCTAAGTGCTATGTAACATATTTTATCTGATACTTCATGCATACTCTGAGCTATAAGATGACTTTCATATGCACTGGACAACCAGATATGTGCTGTAAGCACTATATGCAATATATGTTAATTACCCAACAATATTTTATCTCATTTATTAAAATATAAACAAATCACACTCTGTGGTAATAAAGTATTAAAAAAGATTATCAAAGAATAAACATATGTGACTACATTTTTCACTTCTGTAAATAGAATCAGTCTTGTTTAGATATTCAGAGATATCAATGATCTAAAGTGAATAATAATTTAATACTGGCTAACACTATTTAAAATATTATTTCACTTTCTTGGCATATTCACACTTTAGAAAAAAGTTAAAATTTGCAGTGTCAGATATGTCTAAGAAAAAATATGTAATGATACAAAAATATACATGAGAAAGAGGGTAAAAGAAACTTACAAAGTAGGAAGAATTGAAGCACAAAGAAAACAGTATAACTTAAATCTCAAATCACCAAAATTTGATGAAGTGTGACTATGAGTGCTAATTAAGAGACAAAGATACAGGGACTTCCCTTGTGGTCCAGTGATTGAGACTCCACCTTACAACGCAGGGGACTTGGGTTTGATCCCTGGTCAGGGAACTAAGATCCTACACACATGGTACAACTAAGCCCATTTGCCAAAACTAATACCCAACAAAGCCAAATAAAGAAATATTCAAAGAAAAAAGACAAACATATCAAGCTGAATTTGAAAAATACTGTTATCATCTTCACACGAAAAGAAACAGAAAAACCATAATGATACAAAATGATTAAAACAACAGGACAGAAAAAAAATGTGTCATGAAAATACCAGTCAGAAGTTAAAGCCACATTAAAAGCAGGCATGGTAGTTATTTATGGCAAAAAAAAAAAACAAAAAAAAACACCTATAACAGTGGGTCCCTTATTAGAAAAGGGTCTGTCCTCTTGGGGCTTACCTGGTGGCTCAGATGCTAAAGCATCTGCCTACAATGCAGAAGACATGGGTTTGACCCCTGGGTTGGCAAGATCCCCTGGAGAAGGAAATCCCACTCCAGTACTCTTGCCTCAAAATTCTAGGAAAAATATTCATTTTAACTTTATATGAATGTTAATGATAAAGTATCATAAGACAAGAATTGACATAACATAAGAACAAAACAGAGTAATTCATAATCATAGCAGGAAATTTAACCCATCCAACTCAGGACTTATAGAACACACAGATAAATAATCACTGAACAAAATACTTATAGATACATTCATGAACCATGGATCAAAGCTCTCCTGAATTTAACTGAAAATATTTTTCAAGATTTTAAATTAATTACTTACTGTTAAAACTGCCACTTCCTGAAGCTTCATGGCTAATTTGAGACTGCCTGTTTAAAATTGAAGCTATATCCTCATGCAATTGATCATCAATAATCAAAGCTTTTGGCTCAGTTATAAGAAATGCTAAACAGAAAAATGGATCTATTATAAAACTTCTGAATATAGCAAGTAATCAGCAAAATTTCTTCTAATTCATGCAACACTAAAGGAGGAGGACTGCAAAGCAGTGAATTATAATACATATTCAAACAGACTCTGGAAGGGAAGTAGGCAATTTGTGTGAGCAGTTTTCATGAGTGTGTGTGAAGGCAGTCTTGTTATATACTAGTCATTAATCATGCAAATAGCAAACAAAAGTTGATCAAAGGCTTCATTTAGTTTTCAGGTTATCTTAGGGTATTCACACTTACATCAAAGCATAAAACTTCTATAAAATATATGCACAAATATTTATAATGTGTTGTTCAATTTTTTTTCTCTTTCTTGATCTTTGTTGCTTTATCCATTATTTAATGAAAATTAAAGAAAAAATACCTTTTAATTAGCTTAACTTCAAATAATTTAAAGTGAAAGTTTCTCAGTCATGTCCTACTCTTTGCAACCCCACAGACTATACAGTTCATGGAATTCTCCAGGCCAGAATACTGGAGTGGGGAAGCCTTTTCCTTCTTCAAGGGATCTTCCCAACCCAGGGATTGAACCCAGTTCTCCTGCATTATAGGCTAATTCTTTACCAGCTAAGCCACAAGGGAAGCCCAAATAATTTAAAGATGTCTATAATTCTTACCATTGCGTCTCTTTGCTCTAGTAGTTCCCTGATACAACAACCGATTTTTAGTTTCTGATGGTGTTTCATTCTTAAACAGAGGATTTTCATCTAATTCTTTCCCAGAAGCTACATAAAGAGATACATTTTAGTCTACTAGATAGATAGAACTATTGTGAAATATCTATATTTAAAACAAATATACAGCAAATTTTCTCTCATTTTTTAAAAGTTATAACTAAATTGCTGACAAAGGTTCATATAGTCAAAGCTATGACTTTTCCAGTATTCATGTAAGGACATGAGAGTTGGACCATAAACAAGGCTGAGCACTGAAGTGTGCTTTCAAAGTGTGGTGCTGGAGAAGACTCTTGAGAGTCCCTTGGACAGCAAGGAGACCAAACCAGTCAATCCCAAAGGAAATCAACCTTGAATATTCATTGGAAGGACTGATGCTGGAGCTGAAGCTCCAATACTTTGGCTATGGTCATGATGGGTAGAGCTGACTCATTGGAAAAGAACCAGATGCTGGGAAAGATTGAAGGCAAAAGGAGAAGGGGGCAGCAGAGGATGAAATGGCTAGATAGCATCACCGACTCAATGGACATGAATTTAAACAAACTTCAGGAGCTGGAGACAGAGGAGGACAGAAGAGCCTGGCATGCTACAGTCCATGGGGTTGTGAATAGTTGTACCTGACTTTGTGACTGTACAGCAACAACTAAATTACCATAACGCTAGGTCTGACATGAAAATAGTTTTAATGGGGTTGTATTTTATTATTTCTAGGACATAATGTTAAATGAAAAAAAAAGAAAAAGAAGATATCCAGTATGTTACCATTTGAGTAAGAACACATGGGAAATGAGGGGGTAAAGTGGAGAGAAACAGAGACACTAATCTACAAAACAAAACACTAGAAAGTTAAACCAGAAAACAATATACTTATTTGCCTTCAAGGGGGTGACAGTAGGTCCAGGGAGTACAGGAGAATGATAGTTCTCTAAGTACAGTTGGCCATTTGTATCTGTGGGTACTACATCTGCAGATTCAATCAACTGCAGGTTGCAAACATTCAGAAAAAATTCCACAAAGTTCCAAAAAGGAAAACTCTGCCATGTGCTGGCAACTACTTAGATAATATTTCCATTGTAGTTACAACTATATACATAGTGTTCACATTGTATTAGGTACTATAAGCAAGAGATGATTTAAAATATTTGGGAAGCTATGCATAAGTTATATGCAAATATAGCACCATTTTATATAAGGGACTTGAGCATCTCTGGACTTTGGTATCTAGGAGGGTCCTGGAACCAACCCCTTGTGGGTACCAAGGGACAACTGCACATCTTTTGCATGCTTATACTTTGGGAAGTAGGTTAATGTTGTACGTATCACCTCCAAAATAAAATCAACAAAATACTAAAATGGAAGTAAAACGGCAAAGAATTCTCAAAGAAACTTAGCAGCATTATAGGATACATCAAATGAGTAAATGCGCTGCTGTTGTTTAGAGTCAAGTTAACACTGTAGAAGAAAGGACATACACATATAAAACAAAGGGAGGAAAAAATAAGACCTGAGAGGATAAATTAGAATCGAAGACATTCATGAGAGCTCATGATTTCAAAATATATCTATGTATATGCATTTATGTCTATGTAGGTATATATGTGTATGAATATGTGTATCTATATTTGTGTATGTATATTGAGGAGTCCACCTCCAGACTAAAATCTTATGTGTGATATTTCATGACCGACCATATGCAATTACAGACAGACATTACAACAATAATATTCAGAGAATTTAATAGTCCAAATTTAAACAATGAATAAAGCAACTAAGATCAAAAGGGTAACAGAATTGAACAAAACTATAAATTAAGAGTTCTGCAGAGGTTTTTGATTTCTATAGAACATTCCATCCAACAACAGCTAAGTCTGTACCCTCCTTAAATGCATATGGAAGACACTGTAGCCAGCTTTCAGAGATAATTGGAGTTCCTGCCACTGCAACTTCTACCAGGGGCTACAGCTGGTAGCCCAATTAAAAAATGGGTGAAGCACTACTATTCAACATAGTTTTGGAAGTACTAGCCACAACAATCAGAGAAGAAAAAGAAATAAAAGGAATCCAGATGAGAAAAGAAGAAGTAAAACCATCACTGTTTGCAGATAACATGATCCTCTACACAGAAAACCCTGATGACATCACCAGAAAATTACTAGAGCTACCATGAATAAAGTAAATTTGCAGGATATAAAATTAATACACAGAAATCCCATGCATTCCTATACACTAACAATGAGAAAACAGGAAGAGAATTTAAGGAAACAATCCCATTCACCACTGCAACAAAAGGAATAAAGTATTTAGAAATAAATTTACCTAAAGAAACAGAAGACCTATATATAGAAAACTATAAAACACTGATGAAAGAAATCAAAGAGGACACAAATAGATGCAGAAATATACCATGTTCATGGATTGGAAGAATCAATATAGTGAAAATGAATATACTACCCAAAGCAATCTATAGATTCAATGCAATCCCTATCAGGCTACCGACAGTATTTTTCACAGAACTAGAACAAATAATTTCACAATTTGTATGGAAATACAAAAAACCTCGAACAGCCAAAGAAATCTTGATAAAGAAGAATGGAACTGGAGGAATCAACCTGCTTGACTTCAGATTATACTACAAAGCTACAGTCATCAAGACAGTATGGTACTGGCACAAAGACAGAAATCTGAATCAATGGAACAAAACAGAAAGCCCAGAGATAAATCCATGCACCTATGGACACCTTATCTTTGACAAAGGAGGCAAAAATAGGCAATGGAGAAAAGATAATCTCTTTAACAAGTGGTGCTGGGAAAATTAGTCAACCACCTGTAAAAGAATGAAACTAGAACACTTTCTCACACCATACATAAAAATAAACTCAAAATGGATTAAAGATCTAAATGTAAGACCAGAAACTATAAAACCCCTAGGGGAAAACATAGGCAAAACACTCTCCGACGTAAATCACAGCAGGATCCTCTATGACTTACCTCCCAGAGTAATGGAAATAAAAGCAGAAATAAACAAATGGGACCTAATTAAACTTAAAGGCTTTTGCACAACGAAGGAAACTATAAGCAAGGTGAAAAGACAGCCCTCAGAATTGGAGAAAATAATAGCAGATTAAGGAACTGACAAAGAATTAATCTCAAAAATATACAAGCAGCTCATGCAGCTCAATAGCAGAAAAATAAAGGACCCAATCAAAAAATGGGCCAAAGAACTAAAGAGGCATTTCTCCAAAGATGACATACAGATGGCTAACAAACACATGCAAATATGCTCAACATCACTCGTTATCAGAGAAATGCAAATCAAAACCCACAATGAGGTACCATCTCACGCTGGTCAGAATGGCTGCATCAAAAAGTCTACAAACAATAAATGCTGGAGAGGGTGTGGAGAAACAGGAACCCTCTTACACTGTTGGTGGGAATGCAAACTAGTACAGAAACTATGTAGAACAATGTGAAGATTCCTTAAACAACTGAACATATGACCCAGCAATCCCACTGCTAGGCATACACACTGAGGAAACCAGAATTGAAAGAGACACATGTACCCCGATGTTCATTGCAGCACTGTTTGCAATAGCAAGGACATGGAAGTAACCTAGATGTCCATCAGCAGACGAATGGATAAGAAAGTTGTGGTACATATACACAATGGAATATTACTCAGCTATTAAAAATAATGCATTTCATTAAGTTCTAATCAGATGGATGAAACTGGAGCCTATTATACAGAGTGAAGTAAGTCAGAAAGAAAAACGCCAATACAGTATATATGGAATTTAGAAAGGTGCTAATGATGATGCTATATGCAAGACAGCAAAAGGCATACATGTAAAGAACAGACTTTTGGACTCTGTGGGAGAAGGTGAGGGTGGGATGATTTGAGAGACTAGAATTGAAACATGTATATTACCATATGTGAAACAGATGATCAGTCCAACTTTGATGCATGAAGCAAGGCACTCAAAGTCAGTGCCCTGGGACAACCCAGAGAGATGCGATGGGGAGGGATTGGGGTCAGGACGTGCGGGACACAAGTGCACCTGTGGCTGATTCATGTCAATGTACGGCCAAAACCACCACAATATTGTAAAGCAATTAGCCTCTAATTAAAATAAATTAATAAAAAAATAAAATATAAATATTTAAAATTTGAAATTCTTTAAGAACATTTGAACATTTTTCACATTTGGATATATAATATTTTCCTTATTTTTAAAAGTTCTACTATTTTCTAATTCCATTTTTATATCTTATTTGATTAATGAATTATATACAATTTATAAAAATTATATAAAAATTTTGAATGACCAAATACATGATTTTAAAATATTTATTTCCAAGTTAATTTAATTTTGATAAGAGGATATCATTTATATGGTGGCACAATTTTGTTGTGTTTTATTGAGACTTGGTTTAAAGTTCAGTAGGTAATAAATACTTTAAATATTAAAAAAAAATGATGAAGGAGTTGTAAAGACATTTTTTCCAAAGAAGCTATACAAATTACCAATAAGCATACAAAAAGATGCTTATAATCTTTAATAATTAAGTAAATGTGAATCAAAATTGTAATGAGATACACTTCATACCTACTGGAACAAACATAATTCAAACAAAAAGGAAAACAAGGGTGTGTACCATTGTACACTGTTACTGGGAACAGAAAATGGTGCAGCCACTGTGGAAAACAGTTGTGCAGTTCCTCAGAAAGCTAAACTTAAAATTATTTTATGATCCAGCAAATATACTCCTACCCAAACAATTGAAGACAGAGATTTAAACAGATATCCTATACCATGGTCAGTGTTGAATTATTCACAGTAGCCAAAAGTGGAAAGAATCTAAATGTCCATAAGCAGATGAATGGATAAACAAAATGTGGTATGCACATACAATAATACATTCAGTTCAGTTCAGTCACTCAGTCGTGTCCAACTGTTTGTGACCCCATGAACCGTAGTATGCCTGGCCTCCCTGTCTATCACCAACTCCCAGAGTTTCCCCAAACTCATGTCCATTGAGTCGGTGATGCTGTCCAACCATCTCATCCTCTGTCGTCCCCTTCTGCCCTCAATCTTTCCCAGCATCAGCGTCTTTTCAAATGAGTCAGCTCTTTGCATCAGGTGGCCAAAGTATTGGAGTTTCAGCTTCAACATCAGTCCTTCCAATGAACACCCAGGACTGATCTCCTTTAGGATGGGATGGACTGGTTGGATCTCCTTGCAGTCCAAGGGACTCTCAAGAGTCTTCTCCAACACCACAGTTCATAAAGAGAAACAAAATTCTGACATATGCTAAACTGTGGGTGAACCCTGAAAATATTACGATGCTAAGTGAAACAGCATAATTCCACTTACATGAAACAGGCCAGGTGCAAAAGGACAAATACATAATTCCACTTACATGAAACATAATAGCCAAACTCACAGAGACAGAAAGTAAGTGAGAGGATACCAGGGGCTGGATGGAGGCAGGAATGGGAGTTACTTCCTAACAAGTTTCTTTTCAGGGTGATGAAAGTTGTGGATATAGATGTAGTGATGATTGCACAACACTGTGAATGCAGTTGATGCTATTGAATTTTATACTTTAAAGACGATTAAAATGTCAAATTGTATGTATATTTTATCACAATGAAAAAAATGTGTCAATTGATTAAATTGAGTTCAACTACTGGTTAAAAATTCATGATAAACTCTGAACAAAAGAAAACATCCTGACCATAATCAAAATATTTATCTCAGGTAAATAATCATCACAGGTGAAACCATAGAGACACTCTCATTTCGAAGCACAAGAGAAGAGTGATACTTCCATACTTTCAGTTCAGTCACGCAGTCGTGTCCAACTCTTTGCAACCCCATGGACTGCAGCATGCCAGGCTTCCCTGTCCATCACCAACTCCTGGAGCTTGCTCAAACTCAAGTCCATCAAGTTGGTGATGCCATCCAACCATCTCATCCTCTGCTGTCCCCTTCCCCTTCTGCCTTCAATCTTTTCCAGCATCAGGGTCTTTTCCAGTGAGTCAGTTCTTCGTATCTGGTGGCCAAAGTATTGGAGTTTCAGCTTCAGCAGCAGTCCTTCCAATGAATCTTCAGGGCTGATTTCCTTTAGGATTGACTGGTTTGATCTCCTTGCATCATAACTGCTTAAAAAAAATTACTTCGGAAGTTTCAGCCAATGCAATAAGATATGGATGGGTTATAATAAAAGCTTTGTATGTTGGGAAAAAAGAATAAACTGATGTTTTATAAAATATACATTGAATACCCAAAAACCCAGCTAAAACATTAATTATTTATAACACAAAGCATATTTTTTCCTGCTATACTCTGATGAATTTGGTGTATAATATTATGTTGCCAAATACTGTTATTTGGTTGAGACAAAGCTATCACTTTCCTTTTACACAAAGTTTAGTTAAGATAAACTGAGCAGTATGTTAACTCACCAAATTAATCTTTACACATTGGTCAGTATATTTAGATATTCTCTCATGGTTGTCTAAGAAGTTATTTCTATACTTAGTAATGTTCTCACTTCATTTACTTTAACATGGGAACACAAAATCATTAACATCTTTTTCTTACAAAAGAAAAAAATCTTTTCACCTTGAAATTCTCTTGCTTCTTGGTAAGTTTGTTTTTCAATCTTAGTTTGTAAATTCTCTTCTATAATATCAGCCTTAATCACAAAAGTTAAAAAAGTAATTACAAATTATACATCATAAAACTCTAATTACCTTCTTCTATATCTACAATGTCATTACAGAAACTTTTTATCTCTCATTATTTCTTAAATGTATCAAACTTAAAAATGAAAACAATTAATGGATCTGAGGGACATTTGGGAACACTTTTAATAGTGTGGAAGGACCTTTCCCAAGCAAAATTGTGAATCTTCTTCATAAATAATTCCAAACAAATCAAGTTAATATTTTAAAATTATGATTCTAATTTATATTTATATTTTCACCTAATTTAATCTCTAGGAAAACTCAAATGGCTTTAAAAATTATTTTTATAATGCCACTGAATAGCTTGTATGATAAAAAATATTGTGAAGGTTAAATGTCATTTATATATATATATGAATATATGTCAAATATCATTATCATTTTTCTTTTTCCCAGAATTTTAACTAAGAATTTCCTGAACAGTTTTTTAGCAAAGGCAATTCTAGTAATTTTCTAAGACATGTTTAAGGTATATAAAATTATTTCAAAACAACTATGCTCTCACAACTATCTTAATATACAAAAATTTTTATAGATGAACATGAAATAATTTCTCTGTTTCAGAAATCACGTATCTTTCAATTTATCATTAAAATTATAATTCTAGCCACAAATTCTTTGTTGGTACAGATTAGAACTTTTACATTAAAATACTGATCCCCAAATATCCCTTTAAAATTCTAAATATATAACATGTTTTATCATAGTTACGGAGTTTGGGATCAATATATACACATTGCTATATTTAAAATGGGCAACCACAAGGACCTACTGTATAGCACATGGAACTCTGCTCAATGTTATGTGGCAGCCAGGATCGGATAGGGGTTTGGAGGAGAATGGACACATGTATATGTACGGCAGAGTCCCTCTACTGTCCACCGGAAACTATCATGACATTGTTAATTGGCTGTACTCCAAAACAAAATAAATTAAAAAAATAATGAATCAAATGGCAAATTTAAAATTCCATTTAAATAAGAAAATACTGATGTTTTAAATTAACATTGATTGAAAATACTGAAGAAGTATAGCAATTAAAATAAAAAGGTTTCAATTTATTATGCTGTATCTTACCACCTTTGAGATGTCAGTACCCAGCATCTTTCTTTTAACAACAGAGGGTGAGATAAATGATGCTGCAGACATTTCATTCCCTTGAAGCAATTTTCCAACAGACTGTGCATCTTTAATTTCTTCATGCCATAACATTGTTGTGAATGTTTTATCATAATTCTTTGATGAAAGTATATGGGACAGATCTTCATCAGTTAAACCTTCACTTGGAGTCTTTAAAAAAGGTGATCCATCTTGAGACTTGAGGATCTGTGAAAGATCTGAAATAGCAGGGCTAGCTCTTCCCTTCTCTGAGCTTTAGAATTACAAAACATCTGGTATTAGATTATATGAACAACACTTTTTATTTTTAACTAAAGAATCATTTGCATAATCTATAAGGATATTAAATGAGCAATTATAATTATTCACTAATTAATAGTAATACAAATGTAAAATTGATACTAGATAACAAGCTAAGGATAATATATCTCATGGATTTTAAGATAGAAACAAAGAGTCTCAAATTGGCCAAGACAGCAGAGTGGGAACACCCTGAGCCCACCTCCACTAATGGGCATACCAAAATTACAACCATTTGCAGAGCAACTATTGATAAGAAAAACTGGATGATTAGCAGAAAAGATCTCACAAGATAGGGAGAAGAAGTGGAGTCACACTATAGTCAAGATCCACAGCCCTAAGTGAGTAACCCACAAAGGGAGGATGATTACAATTGCAGAGGTTATCCCCAAGGAGCAAGAGGTCCAAGTCCCACACTGGGGTCGCCAGCCCAGGAATCCTACACCAACACAAGCATCTAGAACATTTGGCTTTGAAGGTCAATGGGACTTACTTTCAGGAAAGTCAGAATGTCATGGGAAATAGAGACTCTCTTCTAAGAAAACACACACATGATCTCACACACTCTAAGAGTCATAGCAGAATCAGTCATTTAAAAGGAGACTGGATTACACCCACCTTCTGCTCTTGGAGAGCCTACCAGAGAGGCAGAAGGCAACTGGAGCTCACCATAGGGACACAGACACTGGTGGCAGGCAATTTCGAAAGTTCTTTCTAACACATGGTTACCAGTAAACCAAGCTCCACTCTGGAATACTCCCTCTAGCTTATTGGGACTCAGCCCCACCCAGTCTGTCAGAACCAGAACTGGGACCCCTCAGGCCAAGCAACTAGCCAGGAAGGACTTACTCAGTAGCTGCCTTCAGAGGACCTGAGCCCACAGTCACCCTGCGACACAGCCCTATCTACCAGCAGTCAGACACCAGCCCCAGGACCACTGTGGCCTGCAGCCTGCCATGGTAGGACCCAGCCCACTCACCGGCAAGCCAATACCAAGTATTTAAACACTTTGGGCCCCTCAGCCAGCTGCCCAGGGATTTGGCCACACCCCTAACCAGGCTGGAACAAGCTTCAGATAACCACTGATCCCGCAGCCAGCTGTATCATGAACCAGCCCAGCATCAAATCTCCTAATATTGCATTACAGAAATCTCAGAAGAAGTGAGAGAAAGGGAGAAGAGGACATATCTGAAGTTAAAATAGCTGAAAAACTCCCATAGCCTGGAAAAGGAAATGGTATCAAGGTCCAGGAAGCACTGAGAGTTTCAAATACAATCATCCCAAAGACAACCACACCAAGACACACCATAATTAAAATGAGAAAATTTTAGATAGAGAGAGAACAATAAAACAAGGGAAAGCAACAAGTTAGGTAAAAGAGAACTCCTATAAGGCCAGGCTATCAACTAACTTTTCAGCAGAAACGCTATAGGCCAGAGGGGAGTGGCATGACCTATTTTAAATGACGAAAGGGAAAACCTACAATAAGAAATGCTCTACCCCATAATGCTTTCATTCAGATTTGATGGCAAGATCAAAAATTATACAACCAAGCAAAAGCAAAGAGTTCAGCATTACCAAGCCAGCATTACAAGAAATGTTAAGGGAACTTCCCAAGTGAAAAGAAAAGGCAAAAACTAGAAACATAAAAAGCACAAAAGTGAAAAGCTCATTGTTAAAAGCAAATATACAGTAAAGGTAGTAAATCAACCATATACAAAGTGAGTAGGAAGATTAAAAGACTAAACTAGTAAACTTTTCTATATTCACAATAAGCAGTTAAGAGACACAAAAAGATCTAAAAGACGATGTCAAAAACCATAATCATGGGGGAGGGGGTGGAGAGAAGTGAAAACACAGGGTTGTTAAAATGTCTGAAATGCAGAAATCAGCAATTGAAAATAATCACATGTATATTGAGAGATTCCTACATATAAAACTGATGGTAACCACAAACCAAAAATCTACTCTAGATACACACACGCAAACAAAAGAATCCAAACATGACACTAAAGGCAGTCGTCAAAACACAAGAGAATGAAAGAAAGGGGAAAAAAGGACTATAAAACCAATTCTAAAACAATTAATAAAATGGTAATTAGAACATACCAATCGAAACCACATTGAATGTAAATAGAATAAATGACCCAATCAAGACACAGAGTGACTGAATGGATACAAAACAAGATACACACACACACACACACACACACACACACACTCCCTACAAGAGACTCACTTCAGACCTAAGACATCCAACCATCTAAAAGTGAGGTGATATAAAAAGATGTCTCACGCAAATGAAAATCAAAAGAAACCTGGCATAGCAATACTTACAAAAAAGTATATAAATTTAAAACAAAGACTATTATAAGAAACAAAGAAAGGAATTAAACAACAAAAAAGGGATCAATATAAGAACATAAAACTTTATATATGCACCCACTGTGAGTGAGTGAGTGAAGTCACTTAGTCGAGTCCGACTCTTTGCAACCTCATGGACTGTAGCCTACTAGGCTCCTCCCTCCGTGAGATTCTCCAGGCAAGAATACTACTATAGGAACACCTAAATGCATAAAACAAACATTAATAATACATAAAGAGAAACTGGCAGTAACACAAAAATAGTAGGGGACTTTAACACCCCACTCACATCAAAAGTACAGATGATCCAGACAGAAAATCAATAAAGAAACACTAACTTAAATCACACATTAAACCACATGGATTATGTATATACATGGAACAGTCCATACAAAGTCAGCAGAATACATATTCTTTCAACTGCACATGGAATATTCTGTAGGAAAGATCTCATGTGAGGCCACAAAAGAAATCTCAGCAAATTCAAGAAAGCTGAAATTATATCAACCATCTTTTCTGATTGCAACACTATGAACTAGATCAACTACAAGAAAAAAAACTGCAAAAAAACCCACAAACATGTGGAAGTTAAACAATATGCTACTAAACAACCAATGAATTACTGAAGAAATCAAAGAGGAAATAAATACCTAGAGACAAAAGACAGCAACATGACAATCTAAAACCTATGGGATGTAGCAAAAGCAGCTCTAAGAGGGAAGGTAACAGCAATACATGCTGACCTCAGGAAAGAAGAAAAACATCAAATAAGCAACCTAATCTTATATCTAAATGAGCTACAGAAAAAAACAAACAAATAAAACCCATAGTCAGAGGAAAGAAATCATAAAGATTAGAGTAGAAGTAAATAAAATAGAAATTAAAATAAAAGATCAATGAAGCTAAAGGCTGGTTATTTGAAAAGATAAGCAAAATGAATAAACCTTAAGCCAAACTCACCACAAAAAAGGAAGTATCCAAATCAATAAAATCCCAAATGAAGAAGAAGTTACAACCAACATCACAAAAATAAAAAGAATCATAAGAAACTACTTGCTACTGTTCTTTAGTGTTCAGTTGTGTCCAACTCTTTTGCGATCCCATGGACTGTAGCCCGCCAGGGTCCACTTTCCATGGGATTCTCCAGGCAAGAATACTGGAGAGGCTTGCCATTTCCTACAGCAGGCAATCTTCCCAATCCAGGGATCGAATCTGCCTCTCCTGCAGAGCCTGCATTGGCAGGTAGATTCTTTACCACTTCGGGAATGGACAACCTAGCTTTTCAGGACAAATTCTTGGAAAGGTACAATCTCCTAAACTTAAACCAGGAAGAAAGAGAAATATGAACAGACCAACTACCAGTACTGAAACTGAATCAATAATTTTAAAACTCACAACAAACAAAAATTCAGCTTCAGAGACTTCACAGGTGAATTCTACCAAACACTTAAAACTTAACCATTATGCTTTTAAAACTATTCCAAAAAATTGCAGAGGAAGGAAGACTTCCAAATTCATGGTATGAGGCAGCATCAACCTGACATCAAAACAAGACAGTTCAGTTCAGTTCAGTTGCTCAGTCGTGTCCGACTCTTTGAGACCCCATGAATCACAGCATGCCAGACCTCCCTGTCCATCACCAACTCCTGGAGTTTACTCAAACTCATGTCCATTGAGTCGGTGATGCCACCCAGCCATCTCATCATCTGTCATCCCCTTCTCCTCCTGCCCTCAACCCCTCCCAGCATCAGGGTCTTTTCCAATGAGTCAAATCTTTGCATGAGGTGGCCAAAGTATTGGAGTTTCAGCTTCAGCATCAGTCCTTCCAATGAACACCCAGGACTGGTCTCCTTTAGGATGGACTGGTTGGATCTCCTTGCAGTCCAAGGGACTCTCAAGAGTCTTCTTGAACACCACAGTTCAAAAGCATCAATTCTTTAGCACTCAGCTTTCTTCACAGTCCAACTCTCACATCTATACATGACTACTGGAAAAACCATAGCCTTGACCAGATGGACCTTTGTTGGCAAAGTAATGTCTCTGCTTTTTAATATGCTGTCTAGGTTGGTCATAACTTTCCTTCCAAGGAGTAAGTGTCTTTTAATTTCATGGCTGCAATCACCATCTGCAGTGATTTTGGAGCCCCCCAAAATAAAGTCAGCCACTGTTTCCCCATCTATTTGCCATGAAGTGATGGGACCAGAGGCCATGACCTTAGTTTTGTGAATGTTGAGCTTTAAGCCAACTTTTTCACTCTACTCTTTCACTTTCATCAAGAGGCTTTTCAGTTCCTCTTCACTTTCTGCCATAAGGGTGGTGTCATCTGCCTATCTGAGGTTGTTAATATTTCTCCCAGCAATCTTGATTCCAGCTTGTGCTTCTTCCAGCCCAGAGTTTCTCATGAGGTACTCTGCATATAAGTTAAATAAGCAGGGTGACAATATACAGCCTTGACGTACCCCTTTTCCTATTTGGAAGCAGTCTGTTGTTCCATGTCCAGTTCTAACTGGACAAAGATACCAAAAAAAGGAAAGTTACAGGCC